CGAGGGCTTTGCTATAAATGAATAGCCTTCGATGAACTTTCGGAATGAACCGGTGAGCCCCAGGTATGATTGAAGCTGCTTCAATGTTTTTGGTTCTTTGAATTTTTGAACGGCTTCGATTTTGTTTGGTGATGGTCTGATGCACCCATTCTCGACGATGTGACCGAGAAATTCAATCGATGTTTTCAAGAATTCACGCTTTTTCCACTTGATTTCTAGACCGACTTCAGCTGCACAGTCTAACACACGTTTCAATCTTTGAATCGGTTCTTCTCTGTTTCTTGCAACAATTATTACGTCATCCATGTAAATCAAAACAATTCCTACGAGAATTAATTTACGAAACACGTTGTTGATGTGACGTTGAAATGCCGACGGGCTATTGCTACAACCGAATGGTGCTTTCAACGGAATATATTGTCCACTGTGCGTCACAAATGCTAAGTACTTTTGACTGTTTTCTTCGACTGGAATGTGAAAAAATGCATACTTTAAGTCAATTTTACTAAACACTTTTGCACCTTTGAGAGATTCAATTATGTCGTCGATATTCGGCGCTGGTACCAACAGAGACTTGTTTGATTAGACGTAAAACTTTTCTTCAATATATCACTCCTTCGATAAATTGAATGATGACTTTTGCAGTCATTAAAGCCGTCACTAAAATGCTTCCACTGGCCTTTCATTTTACGCGTTTAAGTTACATTGTTAACATGTTTTGTATAGAGGTGTCAACGGACAAAATTTTGTCCGTCCGTCCGTCCGGACATTTTTTGAAAAAATTCGGACGTCCGGTCCGAATGTCCGAAAACCGAAATTTTTTTTCGGACGTCCGGTCCGAATGTCCGAAAACCAAAAAAAATTTTCGGACGTCCGGTCCGAATGTCCGAATTTTTTTTCGGACGGACGGACGGACAAGGGGTTTGTCCGAACTTTTCAAATTTTTTCGGACGTCCGAAGATTTTTCGGACGTCCGTAAAATTTCCGGACAATTTCCGGACGTCCGAACAATTTCCGGACGTCCGAAAAATTTCCGGACGTCCGAAAAAAATTCAAAGCCAAAAAAAATATTCGAGCCAAAAAATAATTCAAAAGAAAATTTTCTCGGCTCCAATGATTTCTTTCTAATCCCACAATTGATCCGTTGCGACCAACAAATTCCCTCAGAATATTTTAGTTTCAAAGTGCAACAACCAACGTAAAAACGTTTACCAAAAAGTGTAAACCAACTAATATACAAACTAATATATTTTCTTTTGAATTTTTTTCTGGCTCGATTATTTTTTTTGGCTTTGAATTTTTTTCGGACGTTCGAAAAAACTTCGGACGTCCGAAAAAATTTGAAAAGTTCGGACAAAACCCCTTGTCCGTCCGTCCGTCCGAAAAAAAAATTCGGACATTCGGACCGGACGTCCGAAAAATTTTTTTGGTTTTCGGACATTCGGACCGGACGTCCGAAAAAAAAATTCGGTTTTCGGACATTCGGACCGGACGTCCGAATTTTTTTTTCGGTTTTCGGACGGACGGACACTTTTGTCCGAATTTTTGTCCGTGTCCGTTGACACCTCTAGTTTTGTACAATATCAGATGAAAAACCTCTAGATGAGGTTAAAATGGAGTGACGCTTCTGTGCGTGGATTTACCACTAAAAAAAACGATATCATTTTGAGTGACGCTTTAACGCTGTATTACCTCTGGATACAAAGTTCAGAAGTGTTTTGCGCATTCACTATTGTAAAATTTTATTCACAATAAGGAAAAATATCGCGTCACGATTTTTGAATTCTGTTCCAAAGCTTTTAAGCATTTTGCCGTGTAAAAGTTGTGACGCGATATTTTTCCTTATTGTGAATAAATTTTTACAATAGTGAATGCGAAAAACACTCCTGAACTTCGTATCCAGAGGTAATACAGCGTCAAAGCGTCACTCAAAATGATATCATTCTTTTTGAGTGGTAAATTCACGCACAGGAGCGTCACTCCATTTTAACCTCGTCTAGAGGTTTTTCATCTGATATCATTAATTTTGTAAGGCTTTTTTTTGTTGGAAAAATACATTTTTATGTAGAAGTATGTCTATTTTAAGGTCTTATTATCAGGAAATTGCAATTTTCTGGGTAACACATTCCCATTGTAATTTCACAAATTCTGGAGATAGCACTATCTAATTTCCACTACCATTGAAAAGTCCCATTTTCATCTAATTGCACATTATAAAATGCGGTAAAATATGATCAAATTTCAAAACAACGTGAAAAAAGTGGATTCTTATTATTTCATTGGAAAATATTAATTTCCAACAACCAAAGCTCTGGGAAATGCATTTTTATGTATCCCCCGAAATAAAAGTTCAATTTCATACATTCAGATGTGAAAATGCCGATTTATGACCAAAATGACAACGAAGTGGATATTTAGGTGTTGGTAGACTCCAATTGTTTTTACGAAAAAATAGCAGTTTTCCAAGACCAAAACGACATCAGAGGTGTATTTCACGTGTTTTCCGAACAAAAATTTCATTTGCAGTGAAAATAGAGCAAGTTGAAAAATTCACTTCAATCCGACCAATTTTTCGACCATGAAATGGCTTCAGACCGCCTTTTTACCACTTTTAATCGATTTTTGTAAAAATTGAGCGGATATGGTCTTTTGTGAGCCTTTTTCAGCCAGTCGATGCGTATTCTTGGCACTAATTTCATCGTGGAATGCGACTCTCCATACAAATTCCATTCATTGATCAGTCGCCGATGCCCAGAACTTCGAAATACGATTTTTCCCGGATATATGCCATTTTATTGGTATGGTGGCCGGCTACAAACGCTCAATTTTTGGTAAAAGGTTGTCGGGCTGATTCGTGAGAAATCGCCTTTGGCGTGAAATTTAAGGGGGTTGATTTTTCATAAAAATCTACTTTTTTTCTTTTATATCACATAAACATTGGCATGTGTGTATGAATTGGTTTGAAGGTCTTCTCAAATGATTACAAGCCAACTTTACCCGATGGGCGTCTGAGTTGATCTAGTGTGCGAAATAAATACTTCAAAAAATCGTATACATGCAGGTTAGTGAAGCCATAGCTAGCTCTCCTGTAATGCAAATGTCAATCTGAGAACGGGTTTCGATGTGTCCCAACACCAGCTTTAACTTGGGCATATCGGCACCAGAATCTATGGGGTTCAAAAAAGTTTCCGGACTCACCCACATCCAAATCAATACTTTCATAGAAAACCATGGTCAAACTGCCAATTCCCATAACTTTTTTGTTTTTGGACCAATCGAGGCGCTGAGACCGGCGTTGGAAAGGTAGTGAGGAGGAGTTTTTCTTGGACACCTCAAACCACTGGGTACCCCCTTCGTGGGATATGGTTATAGATTTGAAAATTTATCGAAATTTTGCAACCATTATATTTTTGCCTAGACCACACTTTAGGCATGGGGGATATAATGTTTCCGACTATTTAGGCCAAAACCTTTCCAACGTCACCTACCGTGTCGGGGCTCAAATAGTGTCCTGAGAAAATAGCATACTTGCTGTATATATATTCGTGCCGCAAAAACTGGCATATTTGATATTTGGCTTGAAATGCACAGTTGTTGGAGCGTCACTTGTCGGACTACCGTCCTCCGTGATACAAGTACATTTGTTATTTCTGTAACTTACAAAGAACATCTAAACTGAGTTTACTGCGAACAACATCTCTTTTACGCTAACATCAATTCGTACATGAACGAGTCAGTGTGACAGTTGGTGTGAGCGAGACAAAGTTTGGCAGCAAACAATTTGGTCGTGTCAGTTTGAATGTTCTTTAGGTATTTTCAGAGTATTAACAGAGTTTACTTTAAATGGAATTCATAAGCACAAAATAAGTTTATGCGATGGATTTATCAGAAATTAAATTAATAAATTTATAAAAAATTAAATCGCACGCGTTGCTGTATAAACTCAACGCATTCAAAACACACGTTTAAACAAGTAACGCCAGTGCGTATTCACACAAATGGCATTTCATTTATGTATGATTTTCTAATAAAAAATATTTATTGGATTAGTTCTCAAAAATCAAATTTAAAATTTATTTCCAATGAAAATTCAACCTTCGCTACATTTCGTTTGGTTTCATTTATTTTTTGTTTGCTCATTTCGACGACGATCGAGCACAAAGCACACAATCACTGCTCAGCTCATAAGTCATTGCTGTGTTTATGTAGGTGAGTTAGAAGAGCAAATCATTGCAACGATTTCGGTGGACATTTGAGCGGCCGATCGTTTCAATGATATCGAGTGTTCTAACTATTGAGTGTGTCCCTACAAGAATTTAGCTTCAACGTTTACGCCAACGTATCGGCAACCTTCCGCAATAGTTGTCACAAAATGCATGAACTGTGATCAACTTCATTCGAATTTAGTTTGTTGTATTTTAAAAGGCTGCAATGGCTGATTATTCTCCCTAATAATTATTTTAAATAAGTTTTTATGTCTTATTAGCAACGATAAGCACTGAGCAACATGAAAAGTTTAAATAAAACCATTTGAAATTATGTTTTCAATGTAATGAAGTTGGATACAATTCGAATTTAAATGTTTACGCAATACGATGTGTCGGCGTAATGATTTTGCGTAAACCTGTACATTGAAAATCCAATCGCAATGCGGAATGCTGCGGGTAGGTTTTGCTTTACGACGACATGTCGACGTAAACCTCAATGTATCGCAAAATTCTTGTATGGTGTAACTATTCCAATAAATATTTTTTTATCAGAAAATCATACTGAAATGAAATTTCATTTGTGAGAATGCGCACTGCCGTTGCTTGTTCAAACGTGCGTTGAGTGTGTTTTGAACGCGTTGAGTTTATACAGCAACACGTGCGATTTATCTGATAAATCCATAAACTTATTTTAAATATAATTTAATACTGATTAATTCCGTTCAAAGTAAACTCCGAGTATTAGTACCAAAATCTTATAAGATTTTTCATTTAATGAAACTCATAGGCATATATATATATATCAATTTTTCGTGATGTTTTTTTTATTTGTTCTTGTTGGTCAGATAAAATGGAAATTTAATTTTTCATGTTATTTCGACCTATTAGGATTCTGGTGCGATGCCTTTTAGCAAAGGAACGTTCGTATGATTTCCGAATAATGAGCATAATAGCGCCACGCCAAAACCGGTACCTCTTTCACCCTACAAAGAATCTATTGAACGGATATTTTATTAAATTATATAATTTAACTTACACAGTAAACAGGTGATGCCATATCTACATGAATCCATATGCCAGGAAAATCAAAGCCCAGATGGGCTGCTATAAATAGTCCAGCACATGAAGACTGAGCATTGTTGCGATTCTATATAATGCAAAGAAAATAAATACAGCGAACGTTCGGAAATCTTAAGTTTTCTGAACGAATTTCGTTACATTTGCACTTTATTGACATATAATGAAATCGATTAAGTTTTGATTATTTTTATATATTTTGGTTAGGATAGTGTGTAGAAACTCAAATCAAGTGCGGCGTGTAGAATCTTGGATGCCCAGAATAATGGTACTATTTTGTCTCGAAAAAACACGCCTAAACCTATAAATCATCAGCCGTCCACGATAAAGCAATTCATTTTCCAGCAAAGTTTTAGTACTCAACAAGAGCTATGCAGCGCGCAGTACTAAATGTTACTAAAGAGTAATAAAGTGTACTAAAATGTACTAAAACTGTTCAAACGGTTTTTATCGGTTCTCAACTATTCTAGGTGACACAATGCAGCAAAAAATGGTACTAAAACGTTCTTAGATGTATGTATATTGAAATTTAAGTTCAGATAAATGCAAGTAATTAGTATCAGATGAAAAACCTCTAGACGAGGTTAAAATGGAGTGGCACTCATGTGCGTGGATTTACCACTAAAGGTGGCAAAGGGACAAAATTTGTTCGTCCGTCCGTCCTTTTATTGATTTGGGACAAACGGACATTTGTCCCAATGTCCCATTGCCAAAAGAGACAAACGGACATTTGTCCTAATGTTCCATTTCAAATTAGGACAAATGAACAAATTTTTAAAATGATGTATAACACTTATGAAGTGATGTAAGTCATTTTAAAAATTTGTCCGTTTGTCCTAATTTGAAATGGAACATTAGGATAAATGTCCGTTTGTCCCTTTTGGCAATGGAACATCGGGACAAGATGTCCGTTTGTCCTTATTTGAAACGGGACATTAGGGCAAATTTCCGTTTGTCCTTTTTAGCAATGGGACATTGGGACAAATGTGTGTTTGTCCCAAATCAATAAAAGGACGAACGGACACGAAATGTTCGTCCTCTGTCCGTCCGTTTGCCACCTTTATTTACCACTCAAAAAGACTGATATTATTTTTTGCCCTTTACGATAAAAAAAATAAAATCTGCCAGATATTCACGAATTCACAGAAATCTTCTGAAGCAAAAACGAAAAAGGTAGCCAAAATTGAGATTTTTCAATCATTTTTTTACATTTTTAGGTCCATAACTTTTATACAACTGAACCGATTTCAATGTTCGATGGCGCGATCTAGAACTATCTCAATACTGTCTGAAGGGTGTAAAAGGTCGAAAAATGGCCCTGATCCAGCTTATGTTTTCAACTCGTAATATTAGATGCAGAAGATCACCTTTTCTACTTCAAAAATGCCTTTTGCTGGGTTCTATCGTATATAGCTTTTATTTTCTGGAGAAACAAACAAAATTATATCAATTTTTTTTACCAGCGCGCTGCATAGCTCTTGTCGAGTACTAAAACTTTACTGAAGAATGTATTGCTTTATCGTGGATGATGATTTATAGGTTTAGGCGTGTTTTTCCGGGACAAAAAAAGTACCGTTATTCTGAGCATCCTTGCCGCATTTGATTCGAGTTTCTACGCACTATACAAGTCAAAATAAATAAAAATAATCAAAAACTCGCTTTGCTTGGTGAACATTCTCGCTCTACGCTACGCGTAGTCTGTTAGAATCTACGAAGAGGACTCATTGTTCAGTATCGCATTGGTAGTAACGTTTTAATCAAAATTTGTAGTTACTTACAGATATTATTTAAACATAAAAACAAAATCTATTTTGGAATTAAAAAATCCAAAGTTTTGAACCCCGAGGAAGAAAAAAAAAGAAATTAGTCCCCTTTACATTCAATGTACATTGGACAATGTATGTTTCGTGTAAAGGTAATATTATATCGTTTTTATCATGTGTCCGTAAAGTGCAGTTAAGCCCGAATTTCTTTTCTATACATTCTACATGTAAAATTCAGTTTGTTGTGTGAATTAAAATACAAAGCGAGACGCGCGTGTTCAATGTTTTTGAGCATATATGCCAGCTGGTCGAGAATTTAGACTGGAGCTTTTCATTAATACGATTTTTCGAAATATTTATGATCATATCTCTTATATTAGTACAAAAACCACTTAACGTTTTTATGCTGGGGCAAGTCTAAGCCATGAAACAAACATTTCATGCCAACTAACTTTATCTCTATCTTTCATATCTTATTTATTTATTTTTTATTTTTATTTATTTTAAATAAATGAATAAATAAATTTCTCACTTGTACTGAATTTACCAATACATTTGCAAAAATCTATTGGTAGTTTGAAGTTTCACCAATATAAGTGCTCCGCTTTACCGATGTTTTTCGTTATGTGCAGTTAGTCGAAATAGTGTTCGTTCACCCCTTGTTTGCAATAACTTTGATTTTGTCAGAAAAGTATGACGTATTTCAAAAATTCCAACTTTAATGAAAAAATCAAGGAGTTTTACGAAAGAAACGTGAGTAGTTAACACATTCCTTGGAAGCATATGATTCAGAGCTTCTGAGGGGTCAAATTACCCCCGTCTGATTTAATTTTGGACATTACCCCTATGTGGAAAATTTACCCATACTCTGATTTAAATTCAAAGGTGCACACAGGGAAGAATTGTTGAGTGCTTTTCCGAGATTTTCCGACCAAAAAATTCATTTGGAAGAAAAAAAAATATTTCTAAGATATCTTAAATTATTATTATTTTTGCGAAAAAAATCCATTGTACCAAAGATCTCAACAATACTTCCCTGTGCGTGAGGATCTTTTTTTAGTCCTCACGTTACACTAGATAGAATCGATTTTGAAAAGTGATGACTTTTTTTGCTCTTCACTTTTGATTTACCTAATGGGGCCATACAGCCAATGTAAATACATTGATACCAGTGTATGAACTTTCTTCTAAAACTTTACGAATAAAGCATGAGAATAAAGCGTGGCGCCACTATCTTTCCCAAATATATCATTGAAGTCAATGGAATACATAAGAGTTCAAAAGCGCAGCGATAGATGGCGCCTTTATGAATCCTATACGCAGCTTACTTAATGAATATGGCCCATTTGGAATTACCCATACTCGATTCTAAAATTACCCCCCAAATAAAAATTTGCAATTTGAAATTATTGTATTTTTGAACATTTTATACTGTGAACCCATTTTTGGAGGCCCCAATGAAGTCATATGGGGTAGGTGACTTCGCAGTTTTTGTAGCCTCATCGATTCCCTTTCCAACGGTACCATTTGGAAATGTGTCAACTACTTCTCAGTTAGTTTTCAGTTGCCGCAAACCCATTTTTTTTCGACTTTTTCGATTTTTCAAAAAATTTACACTGGGTGAACTCAAAATTGTAGGCCACTTGCAGCCCCAAGATTTTGGTTTTCACATTTTCTACCGAAAACAAGACTTCAAACTAATTTTCAGCCAATTCTGAGATGGTTGATCCAATTCTTGGTCGATTTCGTGTGGAATGGTCGATATGGTTGCTGTATTTTTATGAAGATAAAAGGTGTAACCCCATCTTAGATGCTCAAAGAAAGTCGCTTTCAAATGATGTATTACTCAAATGAATAACTTAAAGTAAACTTGTCTCTCAGTATAAAAAAAGGAGCTACTCTATGATCAAAAATGTGCGGAATGGACCGTTACAATTTTTCCCTTTGATTTGCGACCTCATGAATCGCAAGTACTTCAAAAAAAATTTACTGTTTTGTTAACCCGTTTGTGCCCGGTTAAAATTTGTGTTTCCATTAATAAAAACAGTAAGTCATCGCAAATAACACGAATGAAAAGGCGGAGAGAAAGAATGCAAATAATATACTACCGCATGAGTTATGAATGCGACAGAAAGAGAACACAGTAGTGTTTATACGCGTCAGAACGACGCTGTGCCTTCGCATCGCTGTCGTCAACTGGTGCCAGCAAGTGTACTACAAACACAATGTCAAAATCAATGTCAAATTCGTCAACACAAGAGTGAAAATTTTTCCATACAGTGTTTGTGGTACAGTTGCTAGCATCAGTGGGCGTCAGCACTGCTTGACGTTAGCTCATAGCAGGCTCTGGAAAAATGTGAAAAATATAAGCCATAACCTGTTTTTGTAAATTTTCAAACTCATTCTTATCAAGATAATTGTGAAGCTATTTATATTTTAATTTTGATTGTATTTGCCTTCTATAAAAGAATATATCGGCAGTTCCACACGAAATCAGGGAAGAGTTGTAATGTGAGGTCGTCGAATTGGCTGAAAATTGGCTTGTAGTCTTGTTTTCGATAGAAAATGAGAAAACCAAAATCTTAGGGCTGTAAGTGGCCCACATTTCTGAGTTCACCCAGTGTAAATTTTGCAAAAAATTGAAAAAATCGAAAAAGGGCTTGCGTCAACTGAAATCTAACTAAGAAGTAGTTGACACATTGCCAAACCTATGGTACCGTTGAAAAGGGAATCAAATCTACACTGTGTGAACTCCGAAATGTGGGCCTTTAACAGCCCTAAGATTTTGATTTTCACATTTTCTATTGAAAACAAGACTCCAAGCCAATTTTCAGCCCATTACTACTCTTCTCTGATTTCGTGTGGAATTGCCGATATATTGAAATCAGTTTTTCTATTTGATTAATACATACAGCAACTGAATTTTTCATATCAGCAACAGAAGATGCAAATTCTGAAAAATGTAACTCAGGACAATAAACAATCGGTGCCAATAAGTCTCCTGAATTACGACCTGCTTCCACCGCCTTTACTTCCCAACATTCAGAATTTGTTAAAACAGCACCATGATATTTGCCAGTTGAAATTGCCTGCATGATAAAAAATGATGGAAACTTCTTTGCAATTCTAGAATTCTCAAAATATAAGCTAAACATAAAGGCACCTGTGCACCTGTAAGGGTTGCCATATCCAGAATATTAGTTGCGTTAAGATCCTTCTTTGCAAATGCCACACCATCTGCTAATACTAAACGACCTTCAGCGTCTGTATTATTAATTTCAACAGTTCGACCGGAATACAGTTTATGAATATCATCAGGACTAGGAAAATAGATGAAGAGAACATTTCAATAGAAAGTATTATTTGGCAAGAAACACGTTTTGATTACGTCTAAGAACAAAACATCATTCACCCGAGCTTGGTTATATCGATAAATAAATATTAGTAACATAAATTGAAATCGATACTAATATGTTTAACGCTCCAGTTAGTATATCTTTTCTCAAACGTGTAGTTAGATTATCTTGAACCGTTGACCATTACACATTTTCGTGTTTGGCCATTTCCTTCAGAGGTTGGTTGCAGATAAAATTATTTATATAAATTTCAAATATCAAATAAATTTATTCGAAATTTTTCATTCGTTGTGTTGATCTAACGCATTTGCAGTACATAAACGAGACAACGGCTGTTGTATTGACAGCCAGCTATTTATAGCTGGAATGAGATTCTCGTTTTATTCATTTACCGTTATTTGTCAACAATTCTGCCACTGCGTCACTACATAGTATATATCTATGGGTGAGATTGGGAGTGGATGTTTTTATTTTTGTACGTTAGGCCATGGACTTATTGAAAGACCTAGTAAATAACAAACAAATTTTGCTGAGTTTTCCACATACCGTGTAGCATCGGGTCCGACAGCATTTTCAGCCAAGCAAAAAACGGCGTGTAAATTTTGAATAAATTGTGATTGGATCATAATTTTGAATGCAGCTAAAATTGCAGCCGCACCTCCACAATCGCGTTTCATTCCAGGCATTGATGTCTTTTGCTTGATGCTTAGGCCGCCGGTGTCATATACAATGCCTTTCCCGACCCAAGCATAAGTTTCGGTTGCACCAATCGGAGTATACGAGAGCACCGCAAGGGCAGGTGCCCTTTGTGGTGAGTTTATGGCTTTACCTACACCATATATACCCCCAAAACCACGTTCATTTAGCTCCTCACCACGTATCACTGTTGATTTTATGTTCAATTCTTTTGCAACAGAATTAATTTCATTCAAAAAATGTGATACATCCATTTCATTGCATGGCATATCTACAATTTTTGCGGCCAGTCTAATACCTTTCAAATATATATGTATAAATTATAATACAGAGCTGTGAAGTTTTATTATCAATACAATATACCATTGGATACGTTTAATAAACATTCAATATCAGCCTCCGATAAAATGTTTTCCATGACTGTATCGTTTTCGATCAGAATAAATTCAATGTTTACAATGACTTCTTCAACATTATGACATCCAGTCTTACGAGAGTATAACGGGAATGCTCTTGAAACTGCACATGCACTTGCGAACAAATCTTTTTTTTCACAAATAATCTGTAAAAATCAATGAAAGAAACTGTATTTTAAGCAAGCAAAAACCCTGCTAGTCCAATGTACCACTATGCTTTCGGTAACGTTCATTGTATGAGTCTTCACTAAGCGTGTAATTGCGTGGGCCCTCGAATTTGTATTATGGCGTGAAGATTTTATTGGTAATGCGGCGATGGTCGCTAGACTTAAATAAAGTGGACAGAAGTCTGTAGGTGAAGGATGAAGGCACGTTATAGAATCCCTAAAAATGACCTCGCTCACGCGTGGAGCTAATTTACATCGAACGTCTTGAAATTTCAAAATAGACAAATGTCGTAGCTGCCCAATCATTAACACCGGGTGACTCTGAGGATCAGTTTTTGTCAATGTCTTATTGAAATTGAAAGTAACCATCTAAAAATCCAAAATACTCTTTCAGAAATAAATGTAGCTCTAACCATTTAAAACATTTATTCATTAAAAGATAAGAACAAAATCTTTGTAAAAACTAAAATCTAAAATACCTTTTCACAATTAAATGTAGAACTGTATGTAAGCACTTGAAAATTTTGAGTTGTATTCGAATGACACGACCTTTGTTTCTATGTAATTACGGACATTTAAATTGTCATCCGTGTAAATTATCAATACAAACAAGAGCTTTGTGGGCTAGCGCAATTGCTAATAAAACATGTGTGTATACAATTTAGTTCAAAGCAAGAAATTTAAGATTTGTTGAAAAAGTAAATCATCTGAGTATTAATATTTTTATAATGAATAGTTCATAACAAAGAAAAAATTTAAAACATTGACCATTGAAACACTGAAACATAGATTCGATGAAATTAGAGCGTTTAGTACTTCAATAATATAAATGACATAGAACTGTCAACGCAATTTTGACATTTTGCACCACGTGTGTTTGAAAATAGATGTCAACCGAGCGTAGTTGTTTAAAATTATTCTGAAAAAATTATGACTAAAATAAAATGCAAAATAGCCGATATAATAGAAAATCCGGCTAAAAAGCAGAAACGAAATCCAGTCATAGGTAAATTGAACACATTTTTTTTCAGATATACAACTCATTCAGCAGTATTTATTGCGTTTTCTTTAGTTCAATTCCAGAATGGTTCACTCAGCAATGAATTTGCTTCAGGTCTGGATGTTTGTATCGCAAAGGATATTCAAAATGAGAACACATCGTCTTTGTTACTTGCCTTGTCCAAAGATAATGTTTATGATGGACTTATCGATAGAAATCCCTCATGTAATTTGAAGAAAACATTCATTGGTGTACGTAAGAAAACATCTGAGGAGGTTAGTAAACTTTGAATATCTCCATGAAATACAGCACCCAAGATTATTTATTATCCATTAGGTGAAACTAGTAGAAGTTACTGAATGCAGTATGATGAGTCATATATATCGCCATAACAATATCTGTTACACACAAAACTTAAACTCATCCAACGAACATAGCCATATGAGCTCAGAAAGTGCACGGCGGATTTTATTCAAAGATTTTGGTGGTAAAAAGGCAATAAAAGTCCTAGACCGCAAAGAAAAGATGAAAGTTAATGTTGACGCTGTGAAAGAACAACTGGATAAAACTTTATTAGGTTAGTAACCACGAAAAGGAGTATTTATATTTTTATATTGGGTTAATAATGAAATAATATAGTACGAAACCGGTTGCTATATCACATTAAAATTCCATTTGGGGTATCATTGAATATTTCGCTATTGTTTCGATTTTTTATCGTTATAACAATTTCCTAAAAGTTCGTTGCCTGAAGAAAGTTATTCATGCAGTAGTTTCAGAAAATGCACACCCATATCACAATTCATATCTACTTTTTGTTTTTAAATAATTTCAACGTAAATTGTTTAAATCAGATATTAGCCAGAACCACATTGTAAAGAAAGACGAGTTTGACCGAGGAAAAGAAGAACAGGATCATATATTACAGGAATTGGTACCAAAAATGAATGCAGACGCTACAAAGTTGATCGATGTTTACAATTTAAACGAACTAATCGACGTGGATATACTAGAAAGTTTGAATGATGCAGCATTGAAAGTATTGGGAACGAGCTCGCAGGATTTACCGTAAGTACCTATCTATCAATTATTTATTAATCCTAATGCATTTGATTCCGGTCATATATCCAAAGTTAAATATGCATATTCAATCCCCATGGGGATAGACTTAACTGTAGACGTAACCGTTATGGTAGTCGAATTGTGCATGGAATGAATGGAGAAAAAATTGAATAGAATTAACTTCCAAACTCTTATTTTAATTCAAAAACAGATCGTTTAGTTACTTGGGCTACTCTGGCCTCCTTAGTTAAGTTAGTAGTTAAGTCTGTACTATGTACGCCTACTATCAGGGCCTCCACGAGCGCCTTCGGCGCCTCGGGGCAAGATATGTCGCAGCGCCTTTTACTTAGAAAGAAAAAGAGGATAATTTTTTTCAATAAAATAAAAATGCATCGAATTTGAGGTGTGATATATATTTTAAATAAATTATTCAAAGTATAATAAAATCTGTTCAAGTTAACTTCATTTTTCGTGCTTTAGAATCTGCAAAACTTTCGATAATATCATTGTAATCAATTTTTTCTGCAACTTCATGTTCGATAGATGTAATTGCAAGACCATTAAGGCGCCTTTGTGCCATTGAATTGCGCAGATAATTTTTTATGAGTTTTAATTTCGAAAAACTGCATTCGCCCGTAGAAACAGCTATTGGTGCCGTTAAGAAAATTCGAAGAGCTATGACAAAGTTAGGAACCAAATTTACCATACGACTCTTCTGAATGATATTTAGTATATCAATAGCCATGGTCAAATTGTTGTTTCGAACTAAGGTTGAAACAACTGGAAATTCACGAAATAAATCATTGCCATCTATATCGCTTACACCATTATAAGAAAGTGCGTGTTCAAGCTGCTGACATGATTTGAGCAAATGGCTATTCTCTTTGTTTTCATTATAATTTTCAAAGTCATACAAAAATAAAAATAGATCGTTGTGTTTCGTCAGTGCATCAAATCGTTCCTCCACAGAATTTTTAGTTACTTCAATTAGCAAAAGTATGAAATCATTTTGGAATTGTTCAGGTGAAGCTAAATATCGATTGGCTGACGCATGTTTTTCTTAGTGTAATATAAGAATCACATCAGTGTTTGCGCCTTTTTCGTGCTATATCGGCGCTCTCGCAACAATTTTTTTCTATGAGAAATGCGCTCTTTTCTATTTTTTCTGCGCCTTTTCTATGGAGAATAAATGCGCTCAAGTGCTTTCGGCGCTCTCGCGGCTATGAAAAAAAAATGCGCTCGAGCGCCTTTTCAGCGCCCTTTGGCGCTCAGCGCCCCGGGGCGTTGCCCCGAACGCCCCGGCGCTCGCGGACTACTATAACCTACTACCGTAAGTATTGAACAAATGGAAAATTATATGATTTTCGTCAGGTGTTATAGAGCATCCCTAAACGGCTGGAAACTTTCGGAAGTTTTTCAGGCCATGCCAAAAATAAAGACTTTATTGGAAGGGTATTTTTGTGGGATAATCGTTCAATCATGTAATGTAAATACTATTTGTCAGCTCATAGCATAGATGCTGTAGTCTTGAGAATTATAGAAATCTAAATGGCAGGGTATTCAGATTAAGAATCTCAGTTATTACCGTTATTTTTAATAATGAAGAATGTGTATTTGGAATTTACTTTAGATTCATCACAAACGATAATTCATTTTTTTTTCCCAACAGAATCAAACCAACATTTTTGTCGAATATAATTAAATGGGTTCAACAGGCCAGATTTCCAGAAGATATTGATAATTTGAAAAGGGTTAAAGCTTGTATTTATATCGATGCATTGCTCAATTACTTCAAACAAGTTAACCAAGTGCATCAAAATTCAAACATAAAATTGAAGCCGATATCACAAGTAACGTCGAAACTAGATTCACATATCAAAAAAAAATTTTCTCAGCCAAACATAAACAAACCGTACGTACATATATAAAAATACTCCTCTTAAGTTTTACATTATTATAGATATATAATTTTTTTCAGGACAAAAACGAATTACGTAGTACATAAAACATGTTGCTACATAATCGTTCTTTCTCTGTTGGTATCTGACAGATATGAAATGGATATCCAAAATATAGTCGAAGAGACCGGTATATCAAAAACCAATTTATTCAAAATGATGAACAGCATTGCCGTACGTCCAAAGGCCAAATCTAGCATCATAAGCATTCGTATGCCAAGTCAACTGAAATCATTTGCAACAAATTTCCGTCGTCGCCGCACTCTATAATTTTGTTCTCCATAAGTTTTGAAATAAAATATACGCAATCTTTTCATCGAAAAATGGTTTATTATTATTTTGTTAGAAAAAAATGATTCAACAATAGAGAAGAGCACGTAAATATTTATCAAATTGACGACCGCGCGCCAAGGAAAGGGTACATTTTCAATTTTTGATCAAAATGTAGGGGGGTAATTCCTAATTTTTCAAAATAAAAACAAGGGGGTAGATTCTAATTTTTGTAAAGAAAATTGCGACGTAAATCATTTCAAGAACCATTTTCCTAAGTATGAAAGAACCGCAGGTATGTATGAAGCGAAAATAATGTGTATATTCAACAACAACAACGACATTTTAAATGAACGGAGGATTAAAGATTTTAAAAACTATTGGGTGTACAAATTAAAACTCGCTGTTTGACAACAGATGGCTCCAGGGGTAAGTGCTGGTGAAAAATATCAGCTCTAAAACGTCATACGGTAAGCTTGGGCATCTGTCAACAATTCTGCATCATCACATTTGTAAATTTTTATCTGCATCATAAATTTTATTGTGCTCAAAAATGTCCGAGTTCGTGCCAAAAAACAGCATTTTGCGGGAGCAGTTTTTTTCATACGGGAAAAATGTGGAAAATGGATTATTCTTTTATCGAGTGGACACTGGTAGTGAAGAATGGACGGTTCTCGATAGACACAAGCATATCAAACCACATTTTGATCGTGGTTACTTGTCATTATAGGGGGCGCCACAATTACTCCCTCGAAAAAGGGTGATTTTCCATATTTGCGGGGGTGGGGCAGATATGGTGCATTTTTTTAATGACTTTTTGGCTATCAAGTCCAAAATTTCTAAGGAGCTAATAATTTTGAAAATCCTTTATGCCCCCGCTGTAATCTCCAGACATTGCGCTTTCTTACTACCACTGGTTTCAGTCGATTCAATATCACCTAAGTGGAGGACGGTTCACTTGTTTTCAAAAAGTCAAAAATTGGCTTGATTCGTTCTTGGCCGCCAAGCCGGCGCAGTTCTTTTGGGATGGAATCCATAAATTGCCTGAATTGTGGGCAAAGGTCATAGCTTCCGATGGACAGTACTTTGAATAAAAAACATTGTACCATTTTCTTTGAATAAACGTTCAAAAAACACAAAAAAAACAGCGAGTTTTAATTTGTACACCCAATACTATTTCATTATGATTTTTTTTGTAAAACTTCAATGGCATATGTTTATATGTATATTACTGGTTCGTGTTAAATTGACCATAATAAAACAAAAAATCAAGTGACATCAAAAATCAAATGAGCTTCTATTCTTTACGAGTGGATCTGTTTAAATCAAAAATGTAAATTGACAATACAAAAGTGACTTCGATTTGTTCGACATGATGTTTATGATTTCAACTTGTCAATTGATTTTTACACAATGAGCCGCCCAAAGAAAAAGAGTCACAAAATTTTGATGTTCGCGAAATTGACGCAAGCAAACACAAGAAAATAGCATGAATGAACAGCGCTCAACTGTTCACAATGCATGAATACACACAGAAAATGTGTGCACAACTGCACATTCAGCAATTTTCGACTCGAATACAGCGGAACATTTGGTTTATACAGAGCTTCTGAAGGTTGGTCGTCCAGAGGGATGTAATTTCAAATTGCAAACTAGCTTCGCAGAAAACGTGAGGACTAAAAAAAAGGACCTCATCAGAGATTACTATGGGATATTTTCATTCATATGGGATAGAAATATCACATAAAAATAACAGATATTTTTCGCGCGTTGTGTTCAGCGAAACGCATTAATACACAATAGCGATTCTGCACACACAGAATCGCTGTTTTTTTCGTTATACTCTTCACACTTACGATGAACTGCGCGGAGCGTGCATGCACATGTTTCGCTCACTTCTTTCTTTGAACACTCTTCGTGTGTCAACACAATGTCTGTGTGTGTATCGCTTGTGCCGTCGTTTGTAAACGACTTCAATGAGCTGCGCGATGCATGCATATATATGTTCTGCTCTTTTCTTTCGATCGACACTCTTCGTACCCAGCCTTCTGCAATTTTTTCTAGTTTTTTTCATAAGAAAACGTTGAGGAAAAATCAAAAAATCATGTTTTTCCCACTTTTTTCTAAGAAAAAAAAAATATCTATCGGCCCGATCGGGCGTTGCTCGGTCGTGCAGCGGGCGGTCTCGATCACAAATGCTCTGACTTCGGACGGACTCGGGCGCAATTTTTGAGCCCGTTGAGAACCCTGGTGCTGACATCTACTTTTGCGATGAATTCTATCGCATTTGCATATGTCAACACCATGTCTTTTGTGTGTGTAGTTTTGCTTGAAAAGTCTTGGCAGTCCGGCCAGAAGCTGGGCATCTGGGCGCTTTAACTATTACGGATTGTAATTTGTTATTATAAAATTCGGTTGATATCCATCTGGTGTGGTAAATATGATTGTGCGCATATATCTTTTTCTTCATCTTATAAGTCTAATTTTAAGAGGATTGTAAACGAAAAATTTCCAAAATCTAAGGGGGTCTGATATTTTAGATGGATAGTCAAATCTTGGAAGATGTGCCGAAATGATTTCGGGTTGGGCGTTTTTAATTGTAGATTTTATGTAGTTTTAGTGTAGTGTTCTTCCTTTTTTCAAGTAGGAACAATTATTTTGAGTAATCGGCTATCGAAAATCTGCTCCAAAATGGGAATACCCAAATCTTGGTCAAAAAACGTATTTCCCACAAATCGAATTTTTTTCGAATTAAGAATGGTTCTAATTTATTGTAGATATATTGTAGAATTCAAATCAATTGTCTGTTTTCGAATATGTCTGCCTATTCGTTCGCTATCGAGATAAGTCATGGAATTTCTTTTATAATGGAAACTAATTGAGTTATGTCAATGTATTACGAAGATTAAGGTCCGATGATAATGCTCCGACTATAAAATTATAGTCGACTATAAAATTTAAAAGTTGGGTTTTTCTTCACTTGGCTAGATTATTATGATAGATCCTTTTATGTTGGATAAAAATAAGCTAAATCCAACAATTTTGACTTTTACTTTTATCCATTTGTCGGCCGTAGAACGGTTTGAATTTTATAGTCGGCTATAAAAATTATAGTCAGACTTTAATTTTTTTTTGCTTTTTTTTGTGTTTTTCTGAAGAATTTTAGTCCTATGAAATGAATTAGGATAAATAAGGATGATTTGCATCAAAAACCGCAATGGTTTCATCGATTTTTTTGGATTTTTTTGAGTTTTTTCGGAAAAAAATGATTTTTCTGGAAATGTTTTTTTTCGACTCTTCTTTATTTTTTTTTTTTTGGAAAATTTCAATCGAATGGAACATATTAGGGCCTTAAAAGAAGTTTTACATCAAATTTTTTCAATTTTTTCGACTTTTTGTAATTTTTTTGCAATAATTTCGAAGTCCTATAATTTCGCAACTACTCGAAACAGAGCAATATTGTCTGAAGCAACTTTTTAGTACTCTTCAAGAGCTTTGCATGTCAACTACTAAAAGTGCTAAAATAGTTCTAAAAATTTACTAAAAAGTACTAAAATTTGCAAACCCTTTGTATGGCTGTGGTCGACTCTGGGCGATGGATTACTGCACGAAATCATGATAAATGTACAGTATTGGACCGTGAAAAGACATTTTTCACACTGAACTACGTAGAATCGATATAATATCTAATAAAATTGTGTAAACACCTTATTGATTCTACACGGAAT